ACATATATATATATATGTATATGTATATATATATATATATATATATATATATATATATATATATATATATATATATATTTATATATATATATATATATATATATATATATATATATATATATATATATATATATATATATAAACTTGTACAAGGAAAATCAGCATGTGAATGCAATAACATATATCAGTATAAATGTTCCTTGATACACAACAATGATCAATCGATCACTCTATCAGTCCTAGAACACATACATCTGTAGGTAATCCAGCCTACAACTGTAACTCTAAACTTCAGTATAAAACACTCCTTGACATAAGAATGCAAACAATCACTCACCTCTCACTGCGTCTTGCACGCTAATGACAACCAAACACTATCAACTCCCTACAAGTAATCCACCAGAACTTCCCTTCCACCTCTGGAAGTTCACTACCCTGATATCTTCAGGTTCTCCCGGGCTTAACTACCAGGACCCTCTGCAGCTCCTTCAGGCTGCTACCATGAAGTTCTCCTTGAGCAACTACGGTGCTTCACCCTTCTGCTAGGTTCCTCCACAGCTCTCCTGGCTGCTACACCATGAAGTTCCCTCGAGCAACTATGGTGCTTCACCACCTCTACAGAGGCACGTGACACTCCTCTTCACTGCTTCTCCTCACAGCTCGAGGTCCTCTGCTCCACTACCTTGGAGTCTCATCAACTACTTCCTCTGTGCTGGCTTCGAAGTTCTCAGCAACTTCTTCCCCAAAGACAAACCACAGATTATCTGGTCGAGGGCGCTCCTCCCTCTGACGAAGCCTGGTCAGGGCGATTCCACAGCCCACGAAAATGTCTCTGGGCGGCTTAATACTCTCCTCGTCGACCAGGACTTGAGACCACAACGTTCCCAGCTCGATTCTACAGCTGGCACGTCTGCACACTTCTCTTCTCTTGGAGATATATCACTAGGGGTTCCTTCCTGACGGGAGCTCAACGGAGCGCGGCTTTCCCCCTGCGATGTCTGGCCTCAGGTGAGGTCAAAGCCCACCAGAAGCGAGCCTCACGCCTCCAGCAAAATGTCCACATCTCCTAGCCAGTCATTTATCTGTTTTCTTCTTCACTGCCCATAATCTTAAATTGTTCATCATATCCAACCAGCTATTATAACTCTGTGTTATCGCCTCTATATATCCTAGACCTTCTGGTTAGGTCAGGCTTGTCTCTCAAGGGGGAGACTCGTTTCTCCTGCAGGCTGAGATCATAACAACAGTAAGACAGAAATAACACTATACAGTAAGACAGAAATAACACTATACAGTAAGACAGAAATAACACTATACAGTATGACAGAAATAACACTATACAGTAAGACAGAAATAACACTATACAGTAAGACAGAAATAACACTATACAGTATGACAGAAATAACACTATACAGTATGACAGAAATAACACTATACAGTATGACAGAAATAACGAAGCGGGTCTCCCAGGGTTTCTTTTACCCTGATGCACTTGTTCACCTAGCAGTAAATAGGTACCTGGGAGTTAGAGACCTGGTCGAGGACCGGGACGCTAAACCCAGAAATCATCTCAAGATAACCTCAAGATACGGTTGCAGTGACTGCAGGATATGAGGAGAGTTTGTGTGTGTGTGTGTGTGTGTGTGTGTGTGTGTGTGTGTGTGTGTGTGTGTGTGGAGGCGGGGAGGGTGTGGGATAGTGGAGATAGATTAGGTGTGAGACATTTACAGTAATGAAGTGATGAAGCGAAATGGGTGATGGTATGTGACGTGTTGGGGAGGGTGAATGTTGGAAGAGATGGGGTGGATGTGTATGGATGGGGTGGGGGGGGAGATGAGGGGGATTGATGTGGGAGGAGACATTGGAGGGGTGTATAGGGGAGAGACCTGGGCACAGGCATGACCCGGGCACCATTGGGTAGCCCATCTAGTTTACATACATATATTTACATTTTTCATTATTTATGTTCACACTTTATTATACAGGGTTACAGAGTTACATACCTGTTTGGTTACAAAATGTGAACATTAAGTGGAAATGAAGTGAAGTTTGTTTCCTAGAGGCTGTAGATTTCTTCAAACTCCTCCGACGCCGGGTAGGAACCGAGGATGCAGTGGGCATTCCCCCTCTGGATCGCGACACTGATGTGCTGGAAGAGAAAACTTGCCGCTCTAGGGTCCCTTGTAGTTTCAGTGAGCCTGTAACCAAGATCCTTAAGAAACCTCCTTGCACTCTCTCCCCATGGACCAAGGGTCTCAGATCATACTGGAACGAAGATGTACCAGTGATCTATTTCCCTGTACTTGGGTGATTTTGTCTTTCTCTGCGTGTCGCCGCGGCTCCTGCCTGGCCGACAGAGAGGTTGATGCATGTGGCTGCCAGGCTGGATTCGCATGCATAGTCCCATGCCAGTTGTTTATTTTTCCAAGGGCATAATGTGATTCCATCTGGTCATCCAGCAAAGCTAATAGAGTTATGGTTCAATATATTGTGAGTTTCTCTCACTACTGGACACTGGGTAGAGGCAGGGCTCCTCTTAATGATATGTTGACTTTATTGTGTTGGGAGTGCCAACCGCCTGATTTTCCACAGTGCAGGCCATGCAATCCATATTCATCTGCATCTGCCTCACTGCAAATACACCTATGAACAGTGTGGAATGAGGCAGCAAGGAGGAGAGCGACTGCAATATGGAACTGCTGTGGATCTAAACCGTCCTCTTAAAAATAACGTCGCTTTTCGCTCGTATGCACTCAATGGTAAAAAATGGAAGTAATTTAAAATGAATTCGGCTCATAAAAGTGATGTACTGTTCCATTTTCTGTTTGAGTCGTCTGGCTTACTTGGCATGATTAGGAGAGGAAACTTTCAATTAACGTTTTTCATGACGTTTTGTAACTATAGGAAAATTTCCTGTCCACCTAACCAACCAGAGGATCCTTAACTTACTGTTTTGGAAAAAAAATCCCAAATTTATTTAGATTTTTTTCATTTTCAAATTACGTCCATTTCCGGCCATACGGGCAAACGGCCAAAATCAGACGTAATTTGTTGGAGGACAGGTTGTGGATCAAGACATGTGCCTGTCACAGACATAGGGACTGTCAAAATGAGGTCCCCTAAATGGAAAGCTGCACAGCTGTGAGGCGTGCACAATCACCGGGGGTTATTACTGCCTCTAGCAAAGCTGTGGTTTCCTTGCCTACAATGGGGCTGTCCCAGCTGGATTGTTTCTTGGCTTTCAACAGAGTTGGTCTGAGTGCTGGGTCTGCCATGGTACCCCATTTTGTGTCGCATTCCATGTAGTAGGAGTCCTATATCCCTGCTAAGTCACACAGGTTGCCAGGTAGAATTTCCTTGACCAAGTCATCCAATGCGGAGGAGGAAGACTGGAAGGTTGCTACAGTAATTTGTCTTCACTGTCAGTGTGGACACCCAGGCCGCCGAGCCTGACAGGAAGAGTGATTTGCTTCCACTGACAGTCATGGAGGAAAAGGTTGACAACTTTCCTAGCATGGCCTTCAGAAGGAAGTCATATTCCTACATATTCATATGGCATTTTTAAAGTCCAGTTTGAGCAGGGCCTTTTCGTTAGAAATGTTGGTGATGTATGCTCGTGCTGCATGAGCAGCCGCTTCACAGCCTTGGGGGATCCCAAATCCTAGCTGAGTTGGTTACAACAATTCAGTCAGCACCACTCGTGGAAGCCTTGGCAACCAGGCGTCGGAGAGTGTTGTCAACAGCGATTGGCCTGATTCCCCCAACCTTCTTGTAGAGAGCACAGAGGGAGGCACCAAAAAAGAGGGGCCTGATGACCTCAGGTATATCACCAGCTAGGCATGCGTTGACGAACCTTGTAAGTTCCACAAGAAGATCTGCAGCATTGCCAACTGCAGGATTTAACATTTGCTTGATGTGATGAGGTTTTAATCCTGTAAAGCTGCCTGCTGACCCAGGTGGAAAAAAGGGCTGCTTTGTAGACCTCAGATTTACCAACAGTTAATGGGTCTGACCTGGCCTCGGCTGGTGGCGGTACGATGTTGTCACCTTCTGAGGTTCTGGTTGGGTGCTTGCTTTGCAGGACTCGTGCTGTGGCAGAGTTTCTAGCAGCAATTTTCTCGTCACTGGTGAGGACTCTAATAGCACTTGATCATTGTCCTGAACATTGTCCATGACTAAAGTAAACTTCAAGTGTATGTACACCGAGAAACGGGTAACACCTCTCGGTGTATATATCCCCTCTTACAAAACATGTAATATTATACAAAAACTAAAAACGTGCTCAAAATTATCAGAAAAAAAAAATACTTCAGACTCATAGTTTTTGCTGCTACAAACAAAGTATGATGATAAGAAAAAATTATGTTAATTTTTTAGTGATCAGTGCACAATGGTTTACAATAGTATAAGAAAAATAAAGCATTTTTAAAGTATTTATCTGGTGGCCAGTGCAAAACCCGTCGTGTGGTTCAATATGTGATCGCGATATGCTGTCCTCTCTTGAATTGTGGCGACACGGACCCGACCACGTTGGGCACGTACCTCACAGGAATCAGTGTGCAAAATTTAGTGAGGTTACCCCCAAGTGTTTGGGGGCTCAACAGTTAGCCTCCTCAGTCTGGGGTAAAGCCATTTGTTGGTTGGTCAGTATAAGCACTCGTGAAGACCTTAATAACTTCCCGCAGTCACCTTTGTGTTTGTTGGCTTTTACTGTAATATTATCCTGACACGCCTCAGTAACTTACATAATTTGGTGCGTATGCTGTCATGATGAGTCCTGGTGAGAGGCTGTGTTATGAGAGTCCAGGTAAGATGAGCTCCAAAGGTCAGCAAGACATCACAAGATTCACAGACGTATAATAAATACTCTGCTTGAACTTTTATACTAAACATGTGGTATTTATATTCATTTAATCATTTATATATATTTTCACAATTCATTTAATAAAGCTTGAAGCAGGCCATGACTATAACGTGAAGCACAATGAAATATTTCGCAGGTTATCTGTATTGATCCAGAAATCGGCAAGATTGTCCGTAGCGTGGAGCTGCCAGCCCGGGACGTTACCTCAGTGTGCTGGGGAGGTCCACACTACTCCACCCTCTTCGTAACCTCAGCCCAAACTGGGCTGTCAGCGGAGGAGCTGACCTCGCAGCCCGCAGCTGGGGGCGTGTTTGCCATCTCGGGCTTAGGGGTCAAAGGTCTTCCACCTACAAACTTCAGCGCTAATCTTGATTTGTTGAAAAAACAGATGTCTTCTGAAGTTTCTGATTAATAATACCAAAACTCTTAAACACTTAGTAGTTAATGATGCTACATTACAGAACTGTTTTTATTATGTTAAGTTACTGAAGCTGTAAACAAAATGAAGTTATTCTAATTACTGAGCTGTGAACGTTGATCACGTTCCCTCTAGTTTTCTGGCTTCATACTCTCACCGGTGTGACTTTCTAACCAATTTATTCAATTATTTGTATTTTTCTTTACAGTCGCAGATTATGGAGTTGTATATCACAAGATAATATCAAGATGTAAGATATCACAAAGCACGATAACATGAATTTCCTGCCCGAAACGCTATTTGTGCTAGTGGCTTGACAAGAATGTCAAAACATCCATGCTATATATTCTCATAAACCCAACGTTCCTTCTTGATATATATATATATATATATATATATATATATATATATATATATATATATATATATATATATATATATATATATATATATATATATATATATATATATATATATATATAATACATAAATGTAAATGACGCTCAGTTAGCAAAGTCATTCAAAAGTTATTTTCTTTTCGAAAACAGCATCACTCAAAACTCCCAGTTTTTAGAAGCCTACATCTTCACTTCTGATTGGAATGAACAAGAGAAGAAAAGAACAGCACTATAAAAGTAGGAGAAAAGTAGGCCAAATGTAACTTTCAAGAATAAAGAATTTATGAGTTATTCCCCTTTAATTATCCTGAGGGTAATGTGGAGGAACATTATGTAGTTTTTCACGTTAAAGTTACAGAAGAGCACTGTATACACTCATCCTTCACTCTACAGTCATGATGGAGCACTGTATACACTCATCCTTCACTCTACAGTCATGATGGAGCACTGTATACACTCATCCTTCACTCTACAGTCATGATGGGGCACTCACAGGAAATCAGCCAAATCCCGTAAGTACAGAGAAGTGAATCACTACTACAATTTTGTCCCCTTTGCTTCTGAGACACTCGGAGTCTGGGGTAAGAGTGTCACCAAGTTTTTAAGGAACTGGGTTCTAGGCTACTTGAAACACCAAGAGGCCCTAGAGCTACCAGCTTCCTTTTCTAGCGCCTCAGCGTGGCGATACAGAGGGGAAATGCACACTGCATTTAGGGTTCCTGCCCGCCACCTGAGGAGCTGGAGGAACTCGACAACTTATGATAATCATCTTTGTACTCTATATGTAACTCCTTTTTTGTAACAAAGTTTAAATAAAACAAATATATATGTGTATTTACAAAAGAATAGGGGTGGTAGGAGAAGAAAAGATTAAAATGTTCAGTGAGAATCCACAAAGTCTTCTCTGAATACTCCTTATTTTCTTCTCCGAGGCCATGGGTCCCCCCATTTGCACCAGAGGTGGTACCCTCACAACTTTATATGCAACTATCCTTCACTCTACTGCAATGCAGTAGAGTGAAGATAAATAATTTGATCTTATTTCATTAAATAATTTTTAAATAATTTTATCTTAAATATGCGTTTAATAAATGCAACTATAGTTGCATTTATTAAACAGTTTACAAGCATGAAAACTTGCCAATCAACTTTTGTTATTGTTATAAACAGCCTCTTGGTGCTTCGGAGCTCATTAACTGTTAAATAATTGTAAACAAAGCTGCCAAAGATTGAGAAAAGAGATACAGGTTCGTAAGTGTTTGCGTAATTTCTTCGTGAATCTAGCCCCAGATCATTTGATGTTCCATATTTTCTGATGGGAACATCAGATCATTTAATCATCAGACGAGGGAGTGAGGAATGGTGGGAAGGACGAGGGGAAGGGAATGGGGGATGGTGGGGAGGACGAGGGGAGTTGGGGATGGTGGGGACGAGGGGAATGGAGAATGGTTTGTTGGACAAGGGAACAGGGTAGTGGGGAATAGTGGGGAGGACGAGGGGATGGTGGTGTAGGAAGGGATTAGGAAGATGAGGGGATGTGTAACACCGTAAAGGTGTTTGGTTTAGTTATATTTAAAAATATATATAGTTCATGAGTCACAGACAAGGATTTGAGAGGCGCCAGTTTGGTCGGCTTGAGTCTCACACCTCTAAGCGTTAATGACTCCAAGTGACCTGAGGTCAAGTCATGCGAATTTCACCTTGCTTTTGCTAATCTTATAATTGGAGCCTGGTAGCCTTCAAACATGCCGACGTTTAAGGAGTGGCTTGGTAGAGTGCCTGAGGCTATCTACTTGTGGGCGGAGTTAGCTACTAGGTTTCCCAATATATACTGAAGGAGAGAGCATAGAGAAATAAGAGCCAGCCAGCAAAGCAGAGGAGAAGACGGCCTAGCCAGGAAGGCTGTCAGCCGGCAGGGCGGGACAGTCTCTGTCAGCTACAGACCCCTCTCCCTCTCTATCCATCTATAGGCAGACACTTGGTGAGTTGAACATTAAGGTGACTTGGTCGTGTTTACAACTGTTGTGTGAGGATCAGGGGCAGTCGAGTTGTAGGGTTCTCGAATTCTTGGATGATGACTCACTTTACATATATATTGAACATTAAGTTGAATTGCTTAAATTTTGATAGTATGTGAAATATAATTGAATTTATTATTTAAATTGTCTTTAACTTTGTTCCCTAGAGTTTTTGAGTTGAGGTGAGAAAGCCTCTGCGGTTTCTGGTTTCATGGTTTAATGAGTATATGATACAGATGGAACATACTAATAATGACCTCTTGATAACATCTTTTGAGAATTTTGTGATACAGACAAGTTCCATTCCTTGTCTTGTATGTAATGGTCTTGAATGGATGATGGCAGAATTTCTTCTACTATCTACTCTTCTACTTCTTCTATCTACTCTTCTACTTCTTCTATCTACTCTTCTACTTCTACCTATCTACTCCTCTCCCTCCACCCCTCTCCGAACTCTCCCTTTCAACTAATGACCCTCCTCGCTCCTCCCACCTCTCTACCTCTCTCACCCCACACCCTCACTAATTACCTTATTGTTCATCTCTTTCCTTTCGTTTCTCTTATACGTTTGTGGCAGTCAAATGTGTTCTAGAGTTCTCTCTTAGAGTTTCGGGTAGCTGTTCAAGTTACGGCGCCTTGTAGTACCCGTACCTAGGTAGTCAAATACCTAGGTTACAAGGTGTTGAACGAGAGAGGCTGCCGTAGGAACTCTGGAGGGTGCTCTAGAATAGTAAGCTAACTGAGGGCAGGATAACGGACTAGAGAGAGCTGTTTCCCCAGGCTTCGTTACTTAACTGGGGGGTGGAATAATGGACAAGAGAGAGCTATTTTCCCCCACCTCCTCGTTACAATGTTGGCAGCGGTGTTGAACAATGTTTATGGTAGCTAGTCTTCAATTAACATTGTTCAGTCCCACGTGTCCTTTTGCCGCTCAGGCGCTATCAGGGAGATCTTGACAGGTGTTTAATATTCGCGAGTTAGCGAGTTTTTCAGGTTAGGAGATAGTGATTCTCTGGCATTGTGGTTTAGTGATTTTGTGAGTTTTGTGATGTTCAGGGAATGTTCACCAGAACTTGCGTGTGAAGTGATTTATGTTAGTGATAATATTTGGTAATTTGGGAACTTAGCGATTGGTGGTAGTGCAGGTCAGCTGAGTGTGACAGGTGACCTCACATGTCCCAGGCGGACACCCAGCCTCCGCTGGTCTCCAGGTCAGTTGGGGAGTGGCAGGTGTAGTTCTTAAGTAGTTTTAAGTGGTGGTTCTGCTCAGATTATTGCGATCGACTGTTTTACTCCATTTGAACGCAATAACCCGAGGTGTACTGGTATTTGTACAGCATGCTAGGGGGAGGCTTAGTATGTCAGTAGACTTCACGTTGGGGACGCTCGACGTTAGTCACAGGGGTGACTGTGGTCTGGTCACAGGGGTGGCAAAAGTTTTGAGTTGTGGACCCGCGGAGAAGCGAGGGAAGCACTCTGGGTCACGTATGTGGCTGTAGGTTAAGGGTGGGAGTAACGGCTAATTAAGTACGTAAGATTAGGAACGGTATAGTTAAGTTAGGCTAGTGTTTTGTCTCTTAGTATTAATATTTTTTGTGGAGATTCGTTTACTGACAAGTTAAAAGTAGTGACAACCTTATTCTCTCTTCTCTAAACTTTACTCTGTCACTGTTTTATGTTCCACCAAGTCAATATCATTCAGTGTTAATTGGATTATTAAAATTTGAGTGTAGTCGTTGCCAGGAGGAGAGCGTTATGATTGGACTGTGTGAACCCTCTACTAATTGCAGGGTCACACAACATTTTGGAACACGGGTATTGTTGCCTTTATGTTCATTCCCAGGTTGGAGCCAGAAGAGAGGCGTGCACATACAGAAGAGGGAGACGGATGCTTTGTACCACACTCACGGGCGTTTATCACCACCACCACCAGCCCCCTACCTGGATGTCATGGCTCCACCACCACCACCATCACCCCAGGGGACCCCCAAGATGCAGCCCTCTTGGCTGGTTAAAATGGTCTACGCAGTGGACCCCAGGACGGACGGACCCCAGTGGACCCCAGGATGGACGGACCCCAGTGGATCCCAAGATGCACGGATCCCCAGTGGACCCCAGGTCGTTCTGCAGACGACCCCAGACGACCCAGTAAAGATGGAAGAGGAGCAACAACGTCTCCAGTCTGCCCCACCAACATCGGTCTACCCTAGGTTAACTAGGTTACAAGGTGTTGAACGAGAGAGGCTGCCATAGGAACTCTGGAGGGTGCTCTAGAATAGTTAGCTAACTGAGGACGGGATAACGGACTAGAGAGAGCTGTTTCCCCCGGCATCGTTAGTTAACTGGGGGGTGGAATAATGGACAAGAGAGAGCTATTTTCCCCCACCCCCGTTACAGATGAAGGGGAGGAAACAGGGACGAGGGAGTGAGGAATGGTTGGGAGGACGAGGGGAAAGGGTAGGGGTGGGGGAATGGTGGGGAGGACAGGGAGACAGGGGAAGGTTGCTGCGGCTCAGCAACGCGTGGCCGGGTACAGCTAGTGTATATATATATATATATATATATATATATATATATATATATATATATATATATATATATATATATATATATTGGTGTATACTGGCAGCAGGTTTTCTTTCAAACATGTTTCATTGAATATGACCGCGTATTCTGTATTTATTATTTATTATTTATTATTCTGTATTTATTATATTATGGACCCAGTACGACATCCCTATCCAACTCAAGCAAACCATCAACAGTGAACTATTTAACCTGAAACAACAACATAAAACTCTTGTAGAAACAAAGACACTCCGTAAGTTAACATCCCTAAACGGTGGACAGCTAAAAATCCCTCGTCCTAAAGATGGCTACTTTAACCTGACTTCTTATGATCTTACCCAGGACCAACGAGACCTCTTAAATCTTGGTCTAAATTGTCAATTCTTATCTAAACCAAAGATGCATCAAAAACGCCTGGAAATCGAAATGCTTCTGGACGATATCCATAAGCTAGAAGACAACAAAAAAGTCATCACCACTGACACACTTCAAGCTGAACTACTTGCAGAAGCAGGGAAAAAACGAGGAACATATTCATCTACAATCTTAACCCCACGACTCAAAGAAGCAGCGAAACAACTAAAAAATCTGAAAGACGTAACAATAAGAAAAGCCGACAAAACAGCAGCATATGTATTGATTCCTACCCATGATTACATGAACAAAATTAGCGACATCCTAAGTGACGACTCCAAATTTCAACGA